CCTAATCAAGGGGTCAACATTAGTGAGCGTTGCTATTTTGCAGATCAAAGGTCAGGCAGATTGAATTTTGCACAGATTAAATGAGGTGAGATCTGCAACGGTAAGCAGATGCGTCTCGTTACCCTTTTTATTAGGATAAATAGGCAGTGGTGGATAGTAATTAAGCACATTTACTCAAGTACTGTATTTAATGACAATAGTGAGGTACTTGTGCTTTAATCTCCATTTTATGCTACTTTCTTCACAAACATGATCACTTTATAAAAGACGATGCCTCCTCTACCTCGACCAACTACAATACCAATCAAATATAACCTTAGCCTACATATTAACTCATTAACAAAATAATCCAGTAATATAACACACAATCCAGCATAATGAGTACTTTTTACTTTGGTACATTTTGTTGCCTATATTTCTGTTACTTGAGTAAATGATTGATTGATGATTCTCTCTCTAATTCTCCGTTAGAAAGAAAAACTCCACACTATGACAGACTGAGAGGGTAGAAGAAGATTTTCACAGATCTAAAATGTTCTACTGAACATGAAAATTACGTTTTCACACCCAAAATCACAACTAGGACCAGAACTAGGAAGCTAAATCTGAATTAGAGAAACCAGCAGGACTCTGAAGAATCAAATATTTAGATTAAATTAAAGCTCTTTAAGACAATATAGACGAGGACCGTTGCAGTAAAACTCTTCCCATTCTAAACCACTCGAGCCAAGAGGCTTGTAAAACTCAAAATCAATTTAATTTTGGAGGGTTATATTGCTGTTGTTTAAGTGAAGTCAGCAGCCATTTGACCTCTGACCCCTCTGGCAAGCAGCTGGCATGTGCATCTTCCCCTTACTGTCCCCTGTCCTGTTTCTCTCTTCGTACGCTCCACAAATGTAAAGTATTCAGTGTTTTTGATGCCAAAATGTTAAAAATATTCAGTGTTACAGACCTGATTTCTCATGGGTGGAAAAGTGGGACATTAAAACTGGACCACTGAAACACAAACTGTTCAAATTCATTTACAAAAAAAACCTTCATCCACATCCGACAGTTCACCTGGCGTGTCATTTATCACTATATTACCAAACAGCCTCGTCAACAAACAATGTACTGAAACAGAGAAGATGTCTCCTCACTAATGCAGCAGTGCTTGTATGCAGCTGCTGTCCCGCTTCCAGGTTGCCTGAGACGGCATATTTTTTCCTCCAATCACGTGCCTCCTTTTTCTAGGAAGCGTGGGGATGCAGATGAGCGGAGGGGAAGCTAAAAATAGCATTTTCTTTTTTCTTTTTTATTCTTCACAGCAAACAGAAAGCAGAGAGGGGAGCAGCCAGGATGTGGGAGATGTTTTTGTGGGTTGCTTGAGTCTGCAGGTGAATCCAGGACATTCTGGATTAAAAACAGCTTCATGTCTGTTTATAAACTGGTTTATATTTATTTAATCAATATCTTCCTTTTATTTGACACAATTCTTCCCTGTTTTAAAATACCTACCACATATATTTGAGCATTTTTATGATCAAAAAACCTACAAGAATTTCCCCTTTCAGAGATCTTTTTGTTTTGAGTATGAAATGTCTTAATAAGAGCCGTAGTCAGACAAGAAAAGTCCCAGAAACTCACAACACTGACAGACCAATATCTGAAATGTAATAAAAACATAACGACCCAAGCGTATGAATCTGAGCTTTGCTGCTAGCAGCGTTTGTCACAGGCAACGTGGATGTGTGTTTTACCAGGAGACACAGTCGATGCGTCAGTGTTGCCTTCAGTAACTTCACTGTCAGCAGAGGAAGTGCAGACTGTCGGCTCACATTCAGACTCATTCGAACACGTGAAAACTTTGCAGGTTAAAATCAAAAAACTGTAGCACAAGAATCAGTCCCAGAAGACTTTATAGTGTTTGTGTATTGTACCAATAAATTGATTAATTCTGATAAAGAAACTGCTGACCGACTCAGTTAAATCAACTATTACATCATTATACAACTTTGAAACACACTCACTTTCATTTATAGACTCAATTGTAAATAACTGGATAAGAAAATGTTTCTATCCATTCATAAAGCCGACATTTTAAAGGACCAGTCTCTACGATTTTAGTGGCATCTAGTGGTGATGTTGCAGATTGCAACCACCTGAATACAACTCAGCCTTCCAAGCGTGTCGAAGAAACTACTAACTAACTGACCCTTATCTACAGCCAGTGTTTGGTTTGCCCTTTCTGGGCTACTGTATAAACATGGCAGTTCATCATAGCGACCTCCGTAGAAGAGGAGCTGCTCCCTCTGTAGATTAAAAACAGCTCATTCTGAGGTAATAAAACTTATATTCTGGAGATACACGAATAAAAACATACCTATTAATATTATATTCCATTTCTACCAATAGATCATCTTAAATATTACACACTGGACCTTTAAGAAACTGGAGCATTGATATGTTCAGCTACAATACAAGTCTATAGTATATACAATTATATATAGTTTATTGGGTTTTTTTCTTTAAAATTCAGTTTTTTCTGTTTTCTGGGATGGGCTGTTGCAATATGGGAAGCGCACACACACACACACGCACACACACACACACACGCATACACGCCAATGCATTATCCGAGACCTGATTGGTTAAGGACTGAATGTTTTATCATACCACAGGAACACAACAGTCTGGCATACTGCTCAATGTTTAATTAATTACATTCTAATAATATGATAAGCATCCAAACATCCGGACTGATAGTGAGTCAGTGATACTACAGTGGTGACCTTAAAGCTTGTTTCATGGTAATAATCAATCAAATATAACACAATTACTGATGTTTGTACGTATGCGTGTCAAAAAATAACATATATGTTTCCTGTCGTCTGGTTTTCTCTATGAGTGGATTTGAAGTGTTTTGAATTTCAATCCATTGTTCCCTCCTCAGACACATTCAGACACATTTTTCCTGATTTAAACCATCGGACGGACGGTGTGAAACGCCTTTTCCTGCAGGACAGGCCCTGAGTCAATCCGGAGATCCACTGAACCAGCCTTCACATCCATCCACACAGACCAACACGAATGAATGTGCATTTTATGCATGCGATGACGGTTTCATGGTTTTCACAATGAGAACAGCTGTTCTAAAGCAGGCATCTTATGTCAAAGGCTCTTTAATTTGAAATCCCTTTCTTGTTATTTAAACACAAACGCTCACACACGTTAAATATTAAATACAGTATATTCAAACATAAGATGTGTGTCTGTGTTATAGATTAATAAAGACAGAAATCCCACCTTTATAGATTTCTATCCGGCTGCTATCCACCGCGTCCAGCAACCCGCAGAAACACCACCGCTGTCAAGTTGGAAAGGTTGTGCAATGCAACATCCGGCAAGGAATTCCAAAATAAAGGTCATTCGAAATGAGCGGTGCTTTTTTTCAATGACAAAATAAATTCGAAAATTACAGCTAATGAAAATTAGATGAATTAAAAGAAAAGGAAAATCACAATGCATGCTTCAAAAGTGTAATTCCAGTTGGCATAGGCAAACTACGAGTTAATGGGAATTTATTGTCAACATACATTAAATAAAGTTAATTGTTAATATTTTTCTTTATATCTTGTATTTTATTTTGTTATTTAATGTGTCTTTTCTTTTCTTTCTTTTCTTTCTTATCTGTTATCTTCTATCTGGAGCTGCAGTAACACGTGGATTTCCCCAGTGTGGGATCAATAAAGTCTATATTATCTTATTAATCTTAATTTATTGTGAAATAAAACTAGTTCCGGTCTTTCTGAAACTCCGTCATCTTTACGCAGTCAGAGTGAATGACAGGTGGGCGGGGCTTCGGGCGCCCTGTGGATGATTGACAGCTCGTCTGACGAATCCGGAGCCGCGGCCGTAACAACTGTCCTGAAACACTCCTCCTCCTCAAATACTCAACCTGTCATCTATTATTGATCAGCGCTGCCGGAGAGACTGAATTATTGATCAGGAGGTCAGCAGTAACCACTGCGGCCATTTCCACCGATTACCAGACACTGATGATGATTTTTTTTGTAATAAATATCAGTGAAAAAACATGTTAATGTTTAATAAGGACACTTATTCTTATAGGCTACACAGGGTTAAAATGGGTTAAATGAACAACACATTGAGTAACATCATACTGGATCTATCACATAATTGATCACTGAAGATAATTCTGCAAAACCATGTGACTAATATCCACATATTATATTAAATGTACACAGTTTGATCAGAATATTCAATAATATTAAAGGATAATTATAGTAATCTGTCTGATTATGATTCATCATTGTTTGCTAAATCATATAACATAACATATAGCTTCACTACAGGGAGAAACAAACAAACCTGTGGAGGTAAACATGCATTTATCAATCAGTAATGTTTTGCAGAAACAAGAAAAAAAAATTGCATTTGGACAAAATGTGTTGTAGAAATTTAAACAATGTGTTTCTGATCATAAAACATTATTTAATAAGTGTAGTGTAAAACATCTGTCTTTAAATATTAGTCTCAGGTTTCAAGTAAATGATCAATAAAGAGTCTGAACGCTGGACTGTTTCTTGTAATGTAGTAATTGATTTAACTATTGGTATTCTTCAGGTTGTCCAAGTGGGGACCTTTTTACATCTTATTCCAGATTACCGAGGGAGGCATTGTCTCTCTTAAACAACAGAAACAACTTAATAAAGTTCCCTCAGAGTATAATAATATTTAAACAACTTAATAATAAAGTTCCCTCAGAGTATAATAATATTTAAACAACTTAATAATAAAGTTCCCTCAGAGTATAATAATATTTAATACCGCACTAATAATCCATTCATCTTGTGTTTCACGCCACCCTGCGCTCGGCTGTGGTCGCTGTTCCTCCGCACCAGCAGGGGGCGCTCACACATTGAACCTATCCTCTGTTAGAAGCAGCTGTTGTGTGGCGGCGTGGCGGCGCTTCAGTCCCGTGTGTCCCCTCCAGGTGTGGTTGTGTTCAGGGTTCAGGTAAGTTAAGAGAGAGTGTGTGTTTGTGTGTTTGTGGTCACAGTTAGAGAGCTAACGTTAAAGACAAACAACAGTGGTGACCGGAAACAGACTCGACAGCGGCTCAGTGTCGAGTCTCACCGCTTTAATGCGGTTAAACAAGAGATTATTGTACATTTATAATGTGTTAATATCTACTTAATATCTTAATGTGAGCTTTGTGTTGTACCGGATGTAACTCGGTACAGAAAGTGTTTGTCTCCGGTGACACTGTGAGCTCAGCAGAGCCGTTAATGTCGGTTTAAATGAGCCAACGGCTAACGGCTAACGGCTAACTGACGGCGTGACCTTTGAACCTTTCCAACTGTTTCATCACTTTCAATTTCAACAACCTCAAAATAACCTCAAAATATATATTAATATATAACATCAGATCAATTAGGAGCCCAGAGTGGGAGATATTAACTCACTGTGGAAATGATGAGAGGTTTTCTGGGTTTAAACTCTTTTAGAAGTTTACAACCAAATAACAAAATGAATGAAGATTTTATGGTTGTTTTTATTTATTAGACATGATTTTATTAAAGTTTTGTAGTAACACCAGCTTTAAATAGTCGCACAGGTTTTATATTCTCTTATTTTTTTAGTGAAGGTGTGTTGTGACAGTGTGATGTTTGTGTGCTTTTATTTTGTAGGAGCAGCCCTCTCATTGAATTAACTGATAAAGACTCAGCTGTCTTGTAGACTATTACATATAGGTTGTGTGTTTTACACTTATGGGAGATCGCCCTCAAGCCTTTATGCTGAAATACGCTGGTGAAATAACTAAAATCTTTGTTTTTCCTTTAGAAAAACATCTTTTCCACACAGAGAGAGACAGAGAGGTGTTTTTCTCCTGCAGATGACAACTCTCTCTCTGCAGTCCAAACATCATGCTTACCCAGGCGGGTAAAGAGTTTCTGGTCCGGATACGGTTCTCCTGGCGGCCGTTTTTCCAGGGCCGGTACCTGATCCTCACCAACACGTTGAGTGGAGGAGTCATGCTGGGATTGGGAGACTTCCTGCAGCAGAGCCGGGAGATCCGCAAGGAGCAAGACAGAGTCCGAGACTGGAGGAGGACAGGTGAGAGAGAGAGAGAGAGAAAAAGGGGAGCCAGGGCGATGTAATTATTGCAATGTGAGAATAAAACTGTCAACCCTGGACGTGCCGGTGCCTTGTTTCTCGCCTCAGTCAGTGTGCAATAAACAGGATCTACTTTATGTCAGTGTCCTGATTCAGCCTGTGAGGGTTTGTTTTTGTAACAATGACCAACTGCACACACAGAAAAGTATAGACCAGAGTGTGTTAGATTAAGAAGGTTTACAAGAAAAATATGAATGTTTATTATTATAAATATCTTTCTCAGTGCACATTACTCTGTTAACAGATTGAATTTCCATTATTCAATACAAAATAGCAATTTCTAAACTCTCTTTCATCCTAATAAAATACAGAAAACTCAAATCTCTTAATAAACAATATGGTATTTTGGATAATGTGTGTTACATTTTGAATGAACCTCATCGCCATTCATTCATTCATTCATTTATTTCCCCTCATTTCTTTCTCTCTAAAGGTTGTATGTTTGCGGTGGGCTGCTCAATGGGTCCACTGCTGCACTACTGGTACGGCTGGCTGGACAGAGTGTACGTCGGTAGAACTATGAACACGGTGGGAAAGAAGGTTCTGGTGGACCAGCTGATCGCCTCACCGACAATCGGGTTGTGGTACTTTTTAGGTAAGAAGGATTTTATGGCAGCCTGTCTCTGTTAGTGCACACATACACACATTTGTGAGGGTGTTAGCACATAAGCCGTTCCTCTATGACCCACTCACGTAAAACAGAGTCAAAGGTCACACTTGAAGGCGTTGATGAGGTAAGACAAAAGCCGATGTGTGTCAGTATCGGAGGTGGGCGGAGTTTAAAGGTCGCTGTTGTATTTGACTGACGCTTTTGTTTATAAGTCACGCTTTATAAGAGTTCAACACTCCTCCGGCCTCTGACCTTATCTGAAGTTAGTATTGATGAAGTTTGGCACTGACGCACATCTGACAACTCTGTTTATTGCAGGTATGGGTCTCATGGAGGGACACACTTTATCTGAAGGATGGGAGGAGTTTAAAGACAAGTTCTGGGAATTTTATAAGGTAAGTACGCTTTGTCAGAGTCTGACGTGCAGAACTGGAGCAGAAGAGCCGTCAGTGAAACCGAACATGTCTCTGATTTCTGTCCTTTGGTGTTCATATAAAACACAAGGATAAAAACACTGAATGTGAGCATCAGTTCAGACTTATTTATGAGTCCTTGCTGCAGCAGCCACAAGTTTGTCTCCGACTTAGTCTCAGGTTTCAAGTAAATGATCAATAAAGAGTCTGAACGCTGGACTGTTTCTTGTAATGTAGTAATTGATTTAACTATTGGTATTCTTCAGGTTGTCCATTGTATGTCCTGTTACTTTACGAGCCAGCAAGTGGGGACCTTTTTAGATCTTATTCCAGATTACCGAGGGGGGCATTGTCTCTCTTAAACAACAGAAACAACTTAATTAATTACCCCCCCCCTCCATCACCCCCTTTCCGATCATTTCCCAGCTTTCACTATCAAAGACAAGGAAAATAAATCACCAGGTTACAGTAACAACTCTCTAAAACATACAGGACCGCTGTCAACAGCGACCTCTAATGAAACTGTATGTCACTGCAGTTAATATATTGATCATACAACAGCACTCACTGGCGGTTCTCTTCTCAGTCAGATTTGGAGAAACAGAAATCTTGGTTGCTCATCAGCTGAAAATGACTGAGCAAATACAACCCTCCCAGTAAGAGCCAGTGGTTACCATAGTGTGCCATGTGTTGATCTCCCAGCCTGCTCAGCGGCCGAGCAGACTTCCTTCCTCTTTTCATAGTTACAGTAACAGTGTTTGCTGGGTAATCTTTACCAGGTTTGTCTATGCTAATCTGTGTTGTTCTTGCCTGCAGGCGGACTGGTGTGTTTGGCCGGCCGCTCAGATGATCAACTTCTACTTTCTCTCACCCAAATTCCGCGTTGTCTACATCAACTTTATCACCTTAGGGTGGGACACCTACTTGTCCTACCTCAAACACAGAGTGAGTCAGACACACAAGAGATTAGACATTCATAAATTTTTATAAAGACAATGTTTGTTTTGTTGTTTTTACTTATGTAAATATTTAACAGCTTTTAGATTCTATTTGCTCTAATGTTGTGGGCCTTTGTTTTAGATACTTCATACAGAATAAAATTAATGTAAACAGAAAATTAAGAGCATTTTTGGGGATTGATTTAGGTGTATCTATCATAGTGCGTCTCTTATGTTAAATTATAAAAGAAGTAGATTCTTCAGTAACACACACAGAATACCTTATATCAAAACTCTGAATGCTCTTCATTGAGTTTTCTACTAGTAGTTAAAAGCAAAGTGGTATGAATTACATTGATGTGAGTATTGGTTTATGTTGTGTTTGCAGGATGACAGCCACCCCGCTGCAGTGGTGTCAGACAGCAGTGCTGTGGATGTACAGCAGGAGGCGCTCCCACCACCCAAACCTCTGGAGGAGAAAGCTTAAGAGACGGAGCTCGAACTCAACTGTGAAGTCGTTCATCGCAAAAGAAAATTTTGCTCTTTTCCCGCCTTTGCAAAATGTTGCGAGACTGTCACGACAGTTTGTGTTATTCGGATGGTCGTTTTCCTCTGACAAACCACTCCTCTCTCAAAGTTTAAACCGACCACATCTCTCTGTGTGCGCGCGCTCAGAGGAGCTGTGGATGTTTAATTTGAAGTGCTGGAACACTTTTTCCCTTCTTGTCTGTAGATTTTTAATGTGTCTGTGTCAAGTGTGTTTGTCTATTTATGTCAGAAAGATGTGTACTCCTGCAGGAGGATTCAGGGATGAGAAGCTGTTTCACTGCCTGTCGGGCCAATACCTCCGATGATAGTTGGTTTTCTTTTTATCACAACCAAGGCTGGAGCATAACTCCTGCCATTCACACAACATTCAACAAGCTGCTTGACAGACGAATCATTTCCAGAACATCTGAAGTATCATCGGTGTTATCTTGTTGCACCTTTTCTGTGTTGTTTTGCTTCTGTTTTGACATGAAAGAATCAATATTGATGTGAACCAGTTTCATTAGACAGCTGCTAGTTTTTAAATGTTTATTATATTAACCCGGATAAACTTTGCCTTAATATGTAGACCAGCGCTGTTCTCTGTTCATGTCAAATCTCATCTTCAGTTTATTCCTATAAGGTTCCTATAAAAAATAACAGCATGATTGTGATTTTTATTAAATATAAGATATTTTATATTTTTATCATATCAAACTGAGTCCTTGACTGTACTTGATTCCTGATAGACTGAAGATGTAAAATTTATTTATTTTCAAACCATGCATTAGTTTTACACTAGTAACTGTACATTTGACTTGGTGTTCTGTACTTTATTATTATTATTTTGGCAGGGCAGGTTAGTGATGATAGAAACACTTGCTTTATGCAGTTTCTATCAGAAATCAGTTGAGCTTTATATATTTTTTAATTTAGTACTAATGTATGTAATTAAAAATATGTACATTCAGAGAATTCTGAGTCCTGATGAACTGTATTTATTGTATTATTTTTATTGTTGCAGTTTAATTTTAAAAAGACATGGCAATAAGAAAATGAAATTACATAAAATTTGCAAAATAAACAATATGATTCAATTTGTTGACTCTATTTTTAAGTATGTGATGGTTTTCTTGGACGTTGTATCCTCTAACATTTGATTGATGAAAAACACAGTTTTCAAGTTCAGTATAAATACATTAATTGTGTCCTCTGTGAAAATAGATATCCTGCAGAAACTTGAAGGGAGCTGAGGGATCAGAATTTGTGTATTAATTAGGTCAACTTCCAGCTTTGATAGTTGTTGCAGTTTGGGAACAATCAGCTATCGAAGAACTTCCAACCCAAAATATCTTTATATCTTTCTTGGCTCTGATTGGTTGTTTTTCTTAAGGCCCAGTGGATATTTGCAAATACTATTATAGCGTTAAAACGAGCCAGAGGAACCAGATTTTCTCACTGTCTCGTACTTTTGTCAGAACAGTGAAAACTTAAGAAATAATGACAAAAAGTTATTTATAAAAGTTACTTATTGTAGCTTTAAGGTAGCTAGGTTAAAGGGAAACATAACACCAACTCAGAGTTGACACTCATAGGTTTTCTACATTAGTTATTAAGAGTTCATGAGCTTTAAAAAAAGTAACAATAATTGCTGTGTTGTCTGCAAATTTACCAGAAACACAAAAAGCTTTATTCATCCAGTCAAAGGTGAGACAAGAAATAAAAATAGCTCCATTAACTGGAAGATGCACATGCAACATGCTATTCACTAAAACGATGGTTTCCAACCATTTTCCCTTTCCTTTTCTATCATTGAGTAAACTGGCGACCCCCGACTAAGTGACATATTTTATTGAGTTTATATAAAACAAGTAATTTGGATGGATTTTGAGCAGATTATTTCCTGTGAATATTGATCAGAGATGAGTTTCCCTGATGCTTTTTGGAACTTTTTATACAAGTTTTCTCATTGGTCTATTTGCTCTTTGGTTGTTTGAACTGAGTTCACAGAGTAAAGGCTTTGTGAATAAATACCACATTTCATTTTGTTTTCTTCACAGAAACAAATGCTGAGATATAGACCAACTGTATACATTTTTAAAGTTTTCTTACACCCCTTAAATTCAAGAAGGCCGCACGACCCCCCGTGGAGCTTTGGCTTGGTTGGGAACCAATGCACTAAAAGACAATATCACAGAACACAGAACCTCCATTATAAGATGAGAAATGTAACACCCAGTAATCATTATTAAGGCATTTTATTTCATCTGTAATGATCAGGTCAATCTAAAATCCAGGGGGGAATATTAACTTAAGGAAATGAAAAAAGGCCTTCTGGATTTTTAAAGGTACTCAGGCTTTTTATTCTATTCCTATTTGTGACTGGAGATGTGTTTTGTTGTTTGTTTTATTTTGTTGTGTTGGAGGTGGGGCCTTCCATGTCTCCAGCTCTCACTGGATAACCGATCAAGAGTCGGCCTTTCTTGTGTACTACATGTTGGCTAAAGGCTTAAAGCTTTGTTTGTTAAACATTTTGTAGCTCACCCTGGAGGCCCTAAATAAATAAGATAGTTTTTTCATATTCAGTCTTTTGTCACAGAGAGACAGAGAGCTTTCTTTCTCCTGCAGATGACAGCTCTCTCTGTGGTCCAGACATCATGCTTCAGAAGGTGGGTAAACGGTTTCTGGTCCGGGCTCGGTTTACCTGGCGTTCGTTATTCGATGACCAGTTCCTGCTGGTCACCAACACGCTGACTGGAGGATCCTTGCTGGCGATGGGAGACGTTGTGCAGCAGAGCTGGGAGATCCACAAGGAGCAAAGCAAAGTCCTGGACTGGAAGAGGATAGGTGAGAGAGACAAGTGCAGCCTGGAGGATGATGACTGACCTCAGGCTCAATGAAATTAAATATAGAGGAATCATCATAAATTGCTTTGAATAACAGAATCTACCAAATGAGTGTAATGCAATGTACTGGTTCCTGTTTGGAGACAGAGGTGAACATATGCTGTCCCTTCTTTTGGGCAACAGGGAATCCATAGCTGTGCACTTATAAATCAAACTTTTGTATCTTTTATAATCTTATAATCTTATAATACCTTAGATAATCTGGACAACTCAAGGGTCCAAAATGAAAGCGGACTAAAATCTTTATTTGAATGTGGTTCAGCAACAGCTGTGTCAGGGCGATATAGCTGAAAAATCTATCGCAAAATCTATTTAATTTAAGTCGCAGACAGGTGAGACAACTACATAATTATTAATTTTGACCGAAGTACTCTTTACTCCATCCACTTATGAAACTATGTGATGCCTTCACCATCCTAGGAAATACAACATTCAGCTCACAGAACACCACTGCATGATGCACAACTGAGACTTTAAACTAAATAGGTTTATTCTGTATACCTGTGTATACCCTGCAATACACCACTGGTTGAATTTAACCACTTTATGCATGAAGGCACACAGGTAACAAAGTTTGATGTTAATGTTTTGTTATGCAAAATTGTTGCTGAGTACCTCTCCATCCTCTCCACTACCTATGGAAGGTTTCTTTCATTCAATAATCGTTTCTTGGGCTTTAACAGTTGTATGACGTGACTGAGGGCAGGTTGCATAATCCAAAGGGTGGAAGCAGCTGTGGTGATTCACTCATAGCACCCTTGCATCCTTGAAATTAAGGATGCACCATCCTGTTTGGCTGTTTTCCATAGTTGACAGGTTTTACTTTCACTTTTCAAAAGAAAAGTAAACATGCACAGTTTATAGCCTACCACATAAATCAAAAAGGATTCTTTAATTTAATAAATAAAATATATTTGTATTTTGTAAATTTTTGTCATTAAAGAAATCCTTTTTAGTCATAATTCGTATTAAATCTCATTTCGTTAAAAAAATTGGAGAAAATCATATGGTGGAACTCAAAGTATTTTGAATTGGATTGAATTGTGAGTTGAGTGTTTCATTACATCCCTACAATGTTCCTACTTGTATTGATGAAGTGTTTATTTCCAATACATATTACTATTGTTTTATTGCCCAGGCCTCATTTCCCGAACTCAGAATTTGTTACGGCTTGTTGTGAATAAATTCAGACAAGATTCAGTCAACATTCAGCATACGGTCAGACCCTTGTATTTTTCCCAAGAAGCTGTGCAATAAAAAGGATCTGCTGTGTGTCAGATAAGAGAGACTTTGCCATCCATCTGTATACAGTGCAGTATATACAATACATAGAGAACAAAATTGTGTTTCTCCTGATACGACATTTAGTGGGAGTGAAGCAAATATTAAGATTACACATAAAACAAGACACAAAACAGGTACAGACGTGTAGCAACAGTCAGAACAACTGTACAAGAAGGTGTTATAAAAAAATAGAGAGTATAAATATAAATGAACAGGAAGTGTAAATAGAAATGAGAGTATAGGAGCAGCAGTGTGTCCCTGAGGATATTTATGTATACAGGATATGTACTGTGGGTGCAAAAAGTCAGACAAGCTGTTTGTGCAGTGTTCAGTGTAAATGTCATGAATGATGGACTCATCTGTCTTCACTGTCCTCTGTAGACTTGCGGTGTAAATTGTTGCTGTTCTAATACCAGACAGTGATGCAGCTGGTCAAGACACCCTCAAGTAGGGAGGAACCTGGCTCTCCTCATTTGATAGAGTCTGTGGAGACACTGTTGTGCCTTCTTGGTCAGGGAGGTGCAGTTGTGTGACCAGCTGAGGTCAGCAGAAATGTGAGAAACTTCTGACTATCTTGACGCAAGAGCCATCAATGTGTGTTGAATTCAGTCGGTTGTCAACTGATTGTCATCAGAGACAGGTTGTTTTTATGCCAGCTGCTCCTCCTAGCCTCCGTACGCAGATGAGCCCCACCAGTGTTGTGTTGTGTTGTTGATAATATGACTGGAGTGATATTTGTCGTAGTTGTAGTAGTTGTGGGTCATTAGAGTGATCATCAGTGGGCTTAGCACACATCCCTGGGGTGTGCCAGTTTTGAGTGTGTTTGCTGCTGAGGTTTCTGATGACTACTGTCTGGTCCAGGATTATACTTGGCTACCTTGAGACCTCAAAAACAGGGAGGACTCAAAACCAAAGTGGGGGGTGTGGGTGTCCTCCCTTAGAAAAGAGTTGAGTTGAGCTTCAGAGACTTTGTTTCCTGCATTCTGGTGACTTTTAAAGAATGAAAATAAAAACATAATAAGTACTTTTAAAAGTTCAGTGTGTAATATTTAAGAGAATCTATTAGAAATGGAATATAGTATTCATAGGTATCTGTTCATTAGTGTTTAATCACCTGAGTATAAGAATCGTTATGTTTTTGTTACCCTAATATGAGACGTTTTTATCTACAGAAGGAGCGCTTCTTCTTCTACAGAGGCCACCATGTTAACCCACTATGTTTATATAGTAGCCCAAAACTGACAAACCACACTTTTTCATGTTTTTTGCAACTTTCGTGGCCACCCTAGTGCCTCCTTTGCACTTGGGATGGGATGGTTTTAATCTGCAGGATGCCACTAAATCCTCCACACAGGTCCTTTAATTCTCAGGAAAGAACAATTAATAAAACATTTAAGTAATTTTACCTGAAAATCTCCAGTGGTTTAACTTCTCACCTTAGTGCAGTGATGGGCAGGTGTACTCCAGGACAACACTGTTGGGTGTGGTTACAGGTGCAACAGAGCACACACTCAGTTATACCCATCAGTAATTCTGGGTGTTTTCAGAGGTGAAACGTTTAACCAGAGAGGGCAGTAAAACACAGATTTTCAACCTGATGTTTTAAGTCTCACAAGCACAATCTTTTTTCAATCTTTTAAAGTATAATGTTTTACCAAAGAAAGATTTAACAGAGTTATAAAAATATAAACGTTTATAAATACAAGATGTGCACCATGTGTCTCATTGCCATTCATTCTTTTCCCCTTATTTCCCCCTAAAGGCTACACGTTTGTTATGGGCTGCTCCACTGGCCCACTGCTGCACCACTGGTACGGCCGGCTGGATAGCGCGTACGCTGGAAGAGCTATGAACACGGTGGTCAAGAAGGTTCTGGCGGACCAGCTGATCATCTCACCGATAATCGGGATATGGTATTTTATAGGTGGGAAAGATTTTATTTCATTTAAGCAGCCTGTTTCCTTCTTCCCTCAGTGCATACATACACTCATTTGTCAGGGTGTTAGCACATAAGCAGTTTCTCTATGACACACTCAAAACAAAGGTCATACTTGAAGGCGTTGGTGAGGTAAGAAAAAAGGCTGGCGTGCGTCAATATCAGAGGTGAGTCAGACGGAGTTCAAAGGTCGTCTGTAAAGAGTTTGCATTTTACTTGACAGGTTGTTGTTTTTTGTAAGTCATGCTTTATAAAAGTTCAACACTCCTCCGGCCTCTGAACTTATCTGAAGTTAGTATTGATGAAGTTTGGCACTGACGCACATCTGACAACTGTTTATTGCAGGTATGGGTCTCATGGAGGGAGACACTTTAGCCGAAGGATGGAAGGACTTCAAAGGGAAGTTCTGGGAATATTATAAGGCAAGTAACCCTGTCAGGGTCTGACCTGCAGCAGAACAGCAGTTCAGTGCACATGTGCTCACATTGTTATTCACTCATTACTCCCCATTGTTTTTAACCAGAGAGGATTTCTGTGCTTTCGTGTTCATATAAAACACAAGGATAAAAAGCTGAATGTGAGCATCAGTTCAGACTTCATTTTCTTTGGTTCAGCTTTCCAAACCTTAAGGACTAAATTTGCTACGTTCTACCCATAATGCTTTGTGTTTTAGGGTCACATCAGTGCAGTTATTTGCTGCGCCGGGAGTTCAAAGAAGAACAATACAAAACCTACCAACAGACAGTGAATCCCTTTTCATACATGAATCCATTACTCTGGAAAATCCCCAAATAATAATCTAACCATTCAAGGGATAAAAACAATGAATCCTTTTACAACTCACTTCTGTCACCGTCATTTATAATCAGATCTTTAGAAGAATTTTTTCCTTTTGAAATAAAGCAGACATATCAAAGTTATTGTGCCAAACACTGTCAGCACAAGAAAGAATGAAAGAACATGGATAAATCCTATTTGTCTTAACACACTACATTTGGCTCCAAACCTGCCACTAAAACACAAAATAAGAAAGAGACTAGGCAGATCCGTGGCTAGTATCTGTGTACTTGTTGCCAGCCTCAGAAACTAGTGACCAGTCAAGCCTTTAGCCGATGCAGTGTGTTAGATGCATGAGTTACCACCTTGGTTGAATAAATAGTCTCTGGCTTATCATTGGCAAGATCAGTAGCTGACTTCAGGAAGGATAAAGCCTCTGATGCCTTCTGATTTGTCTACACCTAGTCACTTACCCTGCACCATACTAGAGATGAACTGCAGAAACTTAACATCTAGCACCATCATCAAGTCAAGTTTTTATTTTTGTCATTGGGGTTTATGAATAAATACCTGTAAAAGTGATGCCATCGTCCAGCTCCCTGCTGTTTTTCTTTGTGTTACTGCTGACCCTTTGTAGCTGATGTCTAACAATCATCTGTGATCACATCCTAACTATATTATTAATGACTTCTGAGACTGTGTTTTCTTTCAATGTATAAGAAAATTATGTAATTTAAGAAGCTCACTGGCGGTTCTCCTTTCAATCAGATTTGTAAAAACAAATCTTGGTCGACTGACTGATGCAAATACAACCCTCCCAGTTAGAGCAAATCAGGTTACCAGGGTTGTGCCATGTGTTGATCTCGCAGCCTGTTCGCACACTTTACTCCTTTCAAATTTTTTAACAGTGTTTGCTGGGTAATCTTTGCAGGTTTGTTTATGTTAATCTATGTTGTTCTTGCCTGCAGGCGGACTGTTGTGTTTGGCCCCCCGTTCAGATGTTCAACTTCTACTATGTCTCGCCCAAATACCGTGTCATGTACATCAACGTTATCAGTTTAGGATGGGATGTCTTCCTGTCCTACCTCAAACACAGAGTAAGTCAGCCACACAGGAGATTAAAGAGACATTTTGCTTCTAGGATAGTTTTACTTATTGTATGACAATTTAACATGTTTGATATATACACATATATATATAGTATATTGTGTCTGTCAGAGTTTTCTACTTGCTCAGTAGTTAAAGAAGTGAAGTGATATTGATGTGTGTATTGTTTTCTGTTGGGTTGATAGGATGACAGCCACCCCACTGTGATGGGGTGCAGTGCTGTTCACTGCAGTCCTATGGATATACAGCAGGAAGCACTCCCACCGCCCAAACCTCTGGAGGAGAAAGCTTAGAGACAGAGTTCATACTCAGCTTTGAAGATGAACATTTAGTTCGGTAAAAAACGGCAAAATTTGACTTTTTTGTGTCGAATAAGCTGTCACCTTTCATGGAGGCTGCCATGTTTCTACAGTAGCCCAGAAGGGGAAAACCAATCACTGGCTCTAGATAGGGCTGTTCATCTTTTTGAGCGTTTCGCAGCCTCCATAGTTTCTGATTCTCCAGTGCTGCTCTCTGTTTTCATGCCAAATCTCAATTTGTCCCTTTGAGGTATCTATAAAAATAATTGCATAATTGTGATTATTATGAAAAAGAAGATCTTTTTACATTTTTATCATATGACACTGAATTCTCAACTGTACGTCTAAAAGCTGATTTACTGGTAGATTGAAGATATGACATTTATTTATTGATTTATTGATTTATTAGTAGTTGTAGTTTTACACTAGTGACTGTAAATTTGACTTGATGTACTGTACTGTACTACATCTACAGCAGTGAATTTATGATTGAATTCTTTTGGTTTTGGCAGGTCAGGTGATAAATCAGTTTATGTGTGGTTGAAATAACAGCATAACATGAAAGCAGAAATCTGTATATATATATATTACGATACTTCAGAGGTGTTTACAAAAAATTAAATGGCATTTGCCAAATAATATAATTACATTTAACAGAAATTGTGTATGTGATGACTGATGAACAACACACATTAATCTTAAATGTTTCCCCAGAATACTAAAGTGTGGAAAAACAGAGAATAAATGAATCATTGTGTACTCTACAGCTGTATGAAAATAGCATTTATTATGTACATTTCATAATCTTTAAATACAGGGGTTGTTATACCTTAATCCTTCCAGGAAGTAGACTCAATTAAAGCTGTAATTGTAGCTGCTAAAATGCAGCATTGGGTATCAGCGAGTGTCCTATTTGCTATTTTTTCCCCCAGGATAGTGAAGCCACCCTACTCTGACCAGAACAAGGCCATATAACAATGATAACAACCATACAGGCTTAGTAGTTTACGCTTGTGAAAAAGTATTTGTATTTTTTTAATTGAATCAATACTTGGTATTAGCTGATACACAGGGCCCAGGTTTTGGAATCGATACCAGGAAGGAAAATGGTCAATGATCTCTAATTTTAGGTGTAAAATTCATAATGCTGCTAAGACATGCAAAGCATGAAGATATAAAACACACATAGACAGAAGTGAAAGAATTAAATGAAACAAGCAATAAAATACAAAACAAAAGTGCAAGATATTTCTACACGTAATGTCACTTTAATGTGTTGAAGCCGGAATAACAGCAGCAGGGATGGAGCTACAAGCAAATACAGAGCCGTGTTTAAACACTGACTAATCAGCCTGAAGGATTTGATACGCACCAACCCACAGTTTTAGAGCACTCCTCCTGAGGCACTCGACACATCCTGCTGTCAAGGATGTAGTCTGTATGTGCGTGTGTGTGTGTGTGTTTGCGTGCTGTCGAAATGATCGCCAGCCTTTTCCTCTCAACATGCCTGCAGTAAAGCACCTCACTGTACTGGTGTCCCTGTTTGCAGTTTGGGCAGGTAAGTCAACATTTCACATTTTTACATTAAACCTGTTGCCAGACTTGTGAGATAATTTGCCTGAATGTTATGTTGAAGTCTTGTGAAGATGCAAAGTTATGCAAATATGGAAACTTCCTGCAGGGAGAGGGAGGTTCAGCAACCTTATCGAAGGTAGTTTGTGGCAGGTTTTTTCTCAGCACTCAGGAAAATGTTGTATTTAGTCAAATTTTAACACCTACAGCAGCATTATAGGTCAAAATCTGAGGACTAAACGCTGGACAACATGCAGCCTTGTAGTAACACAGACCCTTTTAATTCAAGCAATATATTCATGTCTGTTGCTGTAAAATACAAGTCAAGTGTGTATTTCTGCATTATGTATGTTAAAGTGAAGAGTGAGCTGCTATTGGTAAAAAAAGAGGAAGGTAAAATAAACGGGAAGGTCATGTCTGGGTGGAACCTGGAGCAAATATTTAATCAGTCAAAGTAATTCTGAGCTAAACCTACTGTTGCGTCTGATGCTTGTGCAAACACTTGTACACACATACATACACAATGCCAGCTGACTGCCAGCTGTTTGTCTGCATCACCAGAAAACACAAATCATTTCCTGACAGACTTTTAATTCTGCTCTAAAGAGCCAGACGCATCATCTGAACCTCAAACTGATCTCTGCCTTAATGACACAAAAAACAGCTTCATTAAAACAACATCACCTCAAGGTCCATTTAGAAGCTGTTGTGGAGCTTTTGATCGTATCACACTGATGATCTGAGGATCTACTGACAGAAATTGAATATAATATTCATAGGTTACCTTAGAATCAGCTGTTTTTATGTACAGATGCCGTGGATCGCCTTCCATGGAGTCGGCCATGTTGAACCGCCATGTTACTACAGTAGTCTAAAATGGACAAACCAAACACTGGCTCTACCACTGTAGTTTATGCTGCACATTTCACAGCCTGTTCCCATTCCCAGGTCAAATACAGATGCGAGCAGTGTTTAGTTAGTTGCAATCTGCAACTTCACCACTAGATGCCATTCAGTCTTACACACTGGTCCTTTAAGGGAAGTATGTATACCTGAGTACTTGAGTAAATGTACTTAGTGATGTTCCACCACAATTGTTCCACAAAAGTGTAAGTAATGCTATTATATGAGAGGCCACAGAACCAAACATCTGATTTTCCCACAAATACATACATGGCCATCTTTGGAAAACCAAGAAACAACACTGTTCAAACCAAATATCAATTCTGCCCATTGCACGATGAAAAAAGATTTTCCTCAAGTAGCGACTCTAATCCAAAAGAAGAAAAATGGTGGCTGCAAAATGAACAAAATTAAAACTATCTATCAGCTATATTGACATACACTGATAAATGCATTAATATTTTGCATTTTACAACCGAGCAAGGACATATGTTGGCAACCTAGTTAAAAAAAAAACAGCTGCCACTTTAGACACCAGTGACCGATCTTTTTTAATGTTCAATGGACAGAGACTTTGTGAGGATACATTCAGAGCAGTGGAGGCGGCGATTATTTACCTTGGCGGGGCTACAAACACTGAGGGCTTCTGCTTACACGCTAACAATTTTATTGTTTAGTTTCGTGCATTAAGCTTTAACTCTAACTATAGAAGCTGCATTTACTCAACAATTGAGTCATAAAAGCAAACATACTCCATGGAAAGGCTCAGTTTTTCTACTGCTTAACTGCTTCTATTCTCATCAAGCAGAAATGCTGACCACACATTTGTCTCCATTAATAAATACTTACTGTGTCTGTGATAGTTACAGCAATATAAACATGTAAAACACCATAAATATGATAATAAAACTCCATTTTACTGCAGAATAAATACTTTAATTTTTGATACTTTACGTACATTTTGTTGATAATACTTACATACTTTGTTTTGTAAAGTTGGAGGTCAAAGTAGCGCAAACAATGTCAACCTCCCTTGTGTGTTTAACCATTTACTCATTGTTTTATTGGTTTAGCGTTTTATTTTTACACTCACTTAGGTGCATTAGATGGGAGAAGGATCAGGAAAAAAAAGTGTGTATTGCGTGGCTGCACACATTAAGAAAGACAATACAAAATAGACTAATCTTTGCAGTTACTGTCATTTATCTTCATTAAAAGTAATATTCAAATGCTTATCCAATCCAATCCAATCCACTTTATTTATATAGCACGAATTTAACAAACACAAGGTTTCCAAAGTGCTGCACAAAAAGATATACAGAATAAATAAATAACACAATCGAAGATACACAATAAGAGATAAAAGCAATAAAATAAAATAAAATAAAATAAAATAAAATAAGTAAAATAAATAACAGAAATAAATAAAAAGCACTGCCCACACAAGATAAAAATATGCATGTGTACACATAGAATCAACGCTCTACATGGTATCAAAAGCCGAAGAGAAGAGGTGGGTTTTAAGAAGAGTTTTAAAATGAGACAGAGAGGTGGCCTGTCTAATGTGCAGCGGCAATCCATTCCAAAGTTTTGGAGCTGCAACGGCAAACGCTCGTTCCCCTCTGAGCTTAAGCCTAGCTTTAGGCACTGTCAGGAGCAGCTGGTCAGCTGACCTGAGAGATCGGCTGGGAGTGTAGGGGTGCAGCAGCTCAGAGAGGTAAGAAGGGGCAAGGCCATTCAAAGCTTTAAAAGCAAATAAAAGAATTTTAAAATGAATCCTAAAATGGACGGGCAACCAGTGGAGTGAAGCTAAAATAGGTGAAATGTGCTCATGCTTGCGTGTGCCAGTTAAAAGACGTGCAGCAGCATTTTGTACCAGTTGAAGACGAGAAATGGAGGACCCACTAACCCCCATATAAAGTGCATTACAGTAATCCAGCCGAGTGGTCACAAAGGCGTGGATTACTGTCTCAAAGTGCTGTCTCTGAAGGACTGATTTGATTTTTGCCAGCTGCCTTAACTGGAAAAAGCTAGACTTTACCACAGCTTTAATTTGGCTGTCAAATTTAAGGTCTGTGTCAACTTTTACCCCAAGATTTTTTGCAAGTGGTTTGCGATATTGCGCTAAAGAACCCAGATCAACTGGGGGGGGGTCACAGAAGTGCCACCAAAGACCATTACTTCTGTCTTTTTTTCATTAAAATTCAGAAAATTCAAAGACATCCAAGTTTTAAGGTCGTGTAAGCACTTTAGCAGTGGGTCAACAGAGTAGGATTCTGATTTTTTGAGGGGGATATAGATCTGGCTGTCATCCGCATAACAGTGAAAAAAAATGCCATGTTTCCTGAGAATGGAACCAAGTGGGAGTAGATAAAGAGAAAATAAAAGAGGGCCAAGCACAGAGCCCTGTGGGACCCCACATGAGAGAGGAGCAGTGGAGGACACAGAGTCATCAAGGCTGACACAGAAAGTCCGATGTGACAGGTAGGACCTGAACCATTCCAGTGCTGAGCCACTGATGCCCACCCACTGCTCCAAACGAGCGATCAGGATTTCATGATCCACTGTATCAAATGCTGCAGTCAAATCTAAAAGTACAAGGACAACACAGTGTCCAGAGTCAGTAGCTAAAAAGATATCAAAGAGTATAGGATGAATAGCTTTGTGAGGGAAAAACTGGGGCAAGTGTAGTACTGTGTATGTGCATGCTGTGTAGTAAATCTACAGTAGAGGTGGGTCTATAGTCTAGGACACATAATTCTCTCTCTCTCCTCTGTGTTTTACCTTGGAAAAGCCAACAAACATTCTCCACTAGCATTGTCTTGATCAGGTGTGAATGCTGGGCGTCATTGGTTTTTCATCTTCTTTGCAGACGCCACCACTACCGTTTCAGAAATACAGGTACAACAGACAACCACAATTGCTGCACTGCCCACCAGTTTAGCTGTGACAACGAAAAATGATGTGACTCCAAACCATGTGCAACCCATCAGCAACACCCAAGAGATGCAATCGACAACAAACCAGATTACCACTGCAGTCCCTTCGCCCTCAACTTCCCTACCATCACCCAACAGGACGGAGGAAACACATCCCAGCCCTCCTACAGCGACTAATCAGACGTCCAATGAGACAGTTTCCCATGGGCCGACTTTCCCACCAGCATCAGAATCACCAAATGCTACAGAAACCACCACCACCACCACCACCATAAACACAATCAGTCCAGGTCAGACTGCAGTCAGAGCTGAGGGTTGGAGGGTTTCTTTATTCTGAATCAGAGGACAAT